GGAGTTGGAGACCAGGGCCTGTCAAGAGTGGGGTCCTTCTGGGGCTACTGGGTGGCTCAGTCGTTAAGCGTCTGCCTTCGGCTCGGGTCATGATCCCAGGGTCCTGGGATCGAGCCCCGCATCGGGCTCCCTGCTCCGCGGGAAGCCTGCTTCTCCCTCTCCCACTCCCCCTGCTGGTGTTCCCTCTCTTGCTGTGTCTTTCTCTGTCAAATAAATAAATAAAATCTTAAAAAAAAAAAAAAGAGTGGGGTCCTTCTGAGCCCTGACCTTTTGGGTCAGAACCCTAAAGGGTTGTTCCTCAGAAATACATGAGCCGTGATGAGACGCAGTTCAAGGGACTGCAGCACAAGCTCAGATAATTCCAATCCCTAACATCTGGATTATCCCAGATCGCTAGTGACCTCAAGCACCTGGAGGAAGCTAATAGCTTTTTTTTTTTAAGATTTTATTTATTTATATGAGAGAGAGAGAAAGAGTGGGGGGGGCAGAGGCAGAGGGAGAAGCAGACTCCCCACTGAGCAAGAAGCCTGACGATGCGGGGCTCGATCCCAGGACCCTGGGATCATGACCTGAGCCGAAGGCAGACGCTCAACCGACTGAGCCACCCAAGCACCCAAAGCAAATATCTTTTTGAAGGAAGATATCATCCTAGGTCCACACCAAGAAGCAAAATAACAACTCTGTGCCTGCCGTTTGTAAGAGACACAGCACGCCTAGAACATAAAGAAACAGAAAGATTGACAGAAATAAGATGGAAAAAGATATGCCAGGCAATTCATTGTTAACCAAAAGAAGGCTGGGTAGCTATGTTAACATCAGGAAAAGTAGACTTTCTCTCCACTAGAAATAGGGAAAGGGCTTCGTAATAATAAAAGTTTCAATTCACTACTAAGATAAATAGTTCTAAATTTGTATGCTCTTACAATCGCTTCAAAATATATAAAAGAAAGACAACTCTAATGATAAAGTGACAAATGTCCAACCACAGTAGGAATTTTAACGTACCTCTCTTGGTAACTGATAGAAAAAATCGGGGGAGAGGGGGGAAATCAGCAAGGATGCAGAACATCTGGACAACAGAATTAGTAAATTTGACCAAAATCTGATATATACAAAGAACACTACACCCAACTCCTGCAGAACTTTTCAAGTACACACAGAACATTTATAAAAACTGACCATATCCTGGGCCATCAAAGGAGTGAAAGGATGCAGAGTGCATTCTCTGACCAAAATAGAAAACAAAGAATAAAAATATTAACAGAAAATCCCCACTATTTGGAAATTAAGAAACACACTTCCAAATCACCTAAAGACTTGAGAAAGTAGGACTATGAAAATTAGAAACTATTTTGAACTGGGGCACCTGGGTGGCTCAGTTGTTAAGCATCTGCCTTCGGCTCAGGTCATGATCACAGCGTCCTGGGATCAAGCCCCGCATCGGGCTCCCTGCTCAGCGGGGAGTCTGCTTCTCCCTCTCCCACTCCCCCTGCTTGTGTTCCCTCTCTTGCTGTGTCTCTGTCAAATAAATAAATTTAAAAAAAAATAGAGAATTGGAAAAGAGAACAAAAGGACTCTTGACAGGCCAGAAACCGAGAATTTCTGAACACTCCCAAGCAAACGGACCCTAAATGACAGGAAAGCCAGTGAATGCTGAGGACCCCGACCAGCAAATGATGGGCCCCTGAGAAGTCCTTGGTGGGGCTTCCACGCCAAGCCCAGGGTGTGGCCCGGGCGCTGAGAAGCATGGCCGGCCAGGGGCAGCTCGCAGGGTCAGATCGCAGCCTCGGGCTCGGGCCCTCACTTCCCGCTGCCCAACAGGCTGAGCAGCTGGCTGGCATCTGTTCCACAGAAAATGCATTTGTCATCTCTGGAGGAGCTGGGTTCTAGGCCCGGTTTACATATGCCCCTCTCCTGAAGCCAGAACACTTCCGTGTGACCAACTACTGGGGGACAAGCCGTTGTACCCATGTGTGCGCGCGCACACACACACACACACACACACACACACACACACACACAAAACCTCAACATATACCTACAGTACTCTCCCCGGAAGGAAAACAATTTTGTCTCTTTAGAATTCCAGAGATCCTGGAAATTTAGCTCCCTTTAAATGTTTGTGCTTGGGGTAAACCATCAACTAGGCACCACTTTCATCTGGTTCTACCAGGGCAAAGCCCACTCCTGAAGCCAGGGGCTACCTGCCATGCTGGGGAAAGGCCAGCGAACTGGGGTAAACTTAGCAAAGACCTTCATGTTAAGGGAGTTCACAGTGGCTACTGAAGCTAACTAAATCCATAGCTTCCAAACCTGGCTGATGATCAAAATACTTTTGTGGCTTCTTACAATTACAGATTCTCACGCTACACCCTAGACTTATCAAGATCCTAGGAATCTATGTTGTTGTTGGTTTTTTTAAGATTTATTTATTTATTTTGAGGGAGAGAGAGAAAGAGAGAGCAGCTGGGGAGAGGCAGAGGGAGAGGGATTCTTAAGCAGACTCCATGCTGAGCCCAGAGCCCCACACAGGGCTTGATCTCACAACCCTGAGATCATGACCTGAGTCGAAACCAAGAGTCAGTTGCCATAACAGACTGCGCCACCCAGGAGCCCCAGGAATCTGTGTTTTTAATAGACTCGCCAGGTGCTTCTGCCAAGCGACCAGGTCTGGTAACCACTGATACAAATCTTCATTCATAAGCAGACAAGCAAAGACCACTCCTTGCATGAAGAAAATCAGCAGCCTCAAAGAGGGGCAGCATTTTTCGAGGAAAGAGGATTTAAGCAGGAAAGAGGGCAGCACTTTCCAGTGTCAGATCTGTGTCCTCTGAGAGCCCTGGGAAGAGACTGTATAAGAGCAGGAGGCTCCCCACCCCACCAGGTTCCTGCCTGCCCGCTGCACACTCAGGTCACAATCACTGGTTCAAAAAGTAACCCTCCCAGATAACCATCCGACCCGGCCCTGAGGCCACGGCGGGGCAAAGGATCCAATCCCAGCTGGTCTGGATACTCCCCGACTTCCCAGATCTGGCAGGATGATTAATTCAATAGAAGAATATAGACTGATGCTAGGAAACAGTAACACTATACCAGTAAGGAAAAGAAATGGATTCTAAAACTGTACATACAATATGGTCTCCATTCTTCTCAAATTATAGCACACCTCTACACACACACACAAATAAGTCTGGAAGGATATAAACAAAATATTAACTGACAGCGGTCTTTTCTAGGAGTCAGAGTACAGGTGATTTTTCACTTTCTTCTTTTCACTAAGTTTTCAGCAATGAAGTCATCTTACAGTGATAGTAAGGAGGAAAAAACAATGAGCTATATTTTTACCTTTTTTAAAAAAAATATTTTATTTATACATTTGACAGAGCAAGTGAGTAAGCAAGAGAGCACAAGCAGCAGAGGGAGAAGCAGACTCCCCGCTGAGCAGGGAGCCCGATGCGGGGCTCGATCCCAGGACCCTGGGATCACCACCTGAGCCAAAGGCGGACGCTTAACCGACTGAGTCACCCAGGCGCCCCTATATTTTTACTTTTAAATCAGGACACAGCTAAGGTAATAGAATCTCAAAGCTCCTTGACACTCTTTCCTGACCACCCCAGCCCCACCAATTCAGGTCACGCTGGAGACCTCCCTTGTCTGGTAGACTCCCACATCCCGGTGGGGTTAACAGGAACTGCTTCCAAGGGCTGGGGAGAGTAAATGAGATAAAGCACTTGACACAAGGCATGGCACATGGTAAGTGTTCAGCAAATGGCGGCCACCTCATTAGTCCCATTGTTACGTCCACCAACTGGACCAGCGAATTCCAGGATGCCAGACCACAGGCCATTGCTAGGGGCCAAGCCACTGCTTTTCTATCACTCCCTCTGCTCTTAGAGAAAAGGCAGTCTGTGAGGAACCAAGTGTGCTGATAGAGGTAAGCCTGAGAAAAGGAGAGCCAGAAGCCCAGGGAGGGCCTAACTCCTGGGCTGTTCTGTCGATGAAATCTGGGCAAAGTCCTGCATGTTGCAGTAACTACCCCAACCGTTATAAAGAAAATTGTATACAAATTAAAAAAAAAAAAAAGTGCTGGACAAGTCATCTCAAAAGGTTTGAGCTCAGGTACCAAGTCTGGCACTGGCTCACTGGGCAACCTTTCTCTCTCTGGATCTCAAGTCTCCACAGAGGAATATTCCCCGCACTCCACAGGGAGGTGCAGAGGAAACAGCTCTGTGTTTCCTTTGGCTCGGGGACAGGACAGGTGCAGGGTCAGCCCGGGGGGCCTTGGCTCCTTGTGGGCTCACCTTGGAGACTGCAGACTCCGTGCCCTCCCACGGGGCTCTCATCTCTGCTATGGCTAGGGGAAAGGCTGGATTTGCCCAGACCCCTGGGGCAGAGGCCGCCCGGCTGTTATTTGGGGGAACCTAGGCGAGCCAGCAAGGGGTTTGGGAGCAGGGGCCTACTGCCCATTTCCCTCTACCTCAAGCCTCCAGGGCAGGCCTGTGACCCTCCTGAGAGCCCGGTCTCTGCTGGAGAAGAGAAGCCTCCCATGTCCGCTGTGGGTCAGCCAGCCGCTGGCGCAGTCACACTGCAGTCTCCAAGGTGAGCTGACCCCGCACCTGTCCTGTCCCTTTCCCCAATGGAGGAAATCTCGAGATGTAGTAACAAGACCACGATTCAACCCTGAGCGGCTGGCTAGTGGGAAACTCTAGTGGTGCCGACCGGGTCTCTGAAAGATTTAACCGGTTGTGATTATTCCAGCCAAGCGAGGCAGAGGCGGCTGCACCTGGCACCACTGGCCGGCAGCAGGTGGTGCCCCGCGCCTTGCTCAGCCTGGGCCCGTGCGCCCTGGGCCCCTCCTCCTGAGTACCCCCAGGAGGAAGGGGCCAGAGGAGCGACCCGCTGCTGCTAGCCCCACCTATCACGAAGGTAGGGGGGCGGCCCCGTCGGGGCGCCGGAGTGGGGTGAAGCAGCCCTGGCAGCCAGCCGTCGCGGGCACTTACCAAAGGTGGTGAGGTAGAAGGACGAGTCCGGGTGGGCACGCCGGCTCCCGAGGGAGACGCGGTGCAGGGAGCGCTCCATGGCGGCCCCGCTGCGGCCCGGCCAGGCCCGCCTGCAACCCGAGGCGTCTGTGTTGCTCCCCCGTAACCGAGGCAGCAGGCTCAGCCGCCCCCGCCCCGCGCCAGTGTCCCGGAGGCGGGAGCGGGAGGCCGGCTGCGGCGCTCGTTCGAATGGGCCGGCGCGCCGGGCCCTGATTGGCCCGCGCCGGTTTGAATGGGGAGGTTTCCACCTGACCGATCGGACGCCGGGCCCCGGGGAGGAGGCGCCCGCGCCCTAACCGCGACGGCAGCGGCCGCAGCTGCAGCCGGGGGAGGGGGAGGGGAGGGTCCCTCCTCCGCGCTCCGGTCGGTAGTCCTCCGCGAGGAGCCAGAAGGACCTGGCCGCCACACCAGGGCTCCTGGCTCCAGGCTGGAAGTGCCAGCCCCAGGTGAGGTCCGCGGCCCCTGGCGTGTCCACGCAGGCGGGCTTGGCCTGCTCGCCCAGCTCCCCCAGGCCAGCAATTAGCCAGGTTTGTAACATGCTTTGAAGCTCAGACCTGTAATCACCAGGACCAGGCAAGCGCAAAGGAGCATCCACCCGGCCCAGTGCAGTGGGGTTTGGAAAAGTGTTCTCCATGCTTGAACTGGCTGCCCCTACCAGGCTGCAGCCCCTTCCCAAACTCTGCCCTCGCCATCTGCCCCTTGGATGGGAGCAGCCTGGCACAGGTCCGGGCCAAAGCAGCTTGCTCCAGCCAACCTCACAGCGCCCCATCTGCAGCCGTGGAACAGGAACACAGGACCTCAGCATCTGAGGGGACAGAAACACACAGGATGCGGGGAGGGTAGGCGCTTTCAGTCTCCAGAGCCAGGTGTGAGGAGGCAGAGCTGGAAGGAAGGTTAGTCCCTGCACTGCTTTGTCAGCAAACATTGGCGGGACACCTCCTGGGAACAGTTTCACACCAAGACATCTGCTCTGCAAATCTCCGACTGTTGCTGCTGTGGGAGGGAAAGCTGCTGGTCTTATGTAGATCTAAAAATGGTAGGTGTTGGAAGTTGCCAGATGGATATCTGGCCCAGGGATCCACTCAAGAGGAGGTTGGAGGATGCAAGAGAGAAAGTGGGGAGAAAAGTTGTATGTATTGAGTACCAGGCTCCAGGGGCTGAGCTGGGCAATTTACATGTATCATCTCATTTAATCTTCATGGTGATCCTAGGAAGTATCAGCCCCAGTTTACCAGGGATAAATCTGAACTTCAGGCAGAGAGGGTAGGTGACTTGTCCAAGGTTGGCAGAGCTGAAATTTGAACCCACGCCTGCCTGCCCCAAAGGCCATCCTCCATCCGTTCTTCTTTGGCCTCCATCCTGCCCCATGGCCAACAGCAAGAGCAGGCTGCAGACTTGCCTTCCTGAAGCAGGTAAGGAAACTTGAAGCCACAGGGCCAGCTGGCTACCAGCAGGGAGCAGAAGCTAGAGAAGGAGCCCCGAAATCAGCAAACTAGTGGTCAAGCGCAAATGAGTCACATAAAGGCCAGTGGACTGTTTGAAACTGGGCCCTCTGTGAAGCCCTGCTCTGCCCTTTCCCTAACCCCCATACTGTGAGCACTGCCCATAGCAGAGGCAAGCCTGGCCCCAACCAATGACAGGTGGACATACCTGCACCCTGGACTTGAGCGTGCCTGATTCTCCTCCTGGCTGGGGGAGTCTGCGTCCAGGCATCTTTTCTGGGCAGGGAGGTATGCTGGGCCTGCCACTCCATCCAGCCAGGGATGATGGGCAACCTCAGGCTCAAGCCACAGGATGCAGAAAGGACACTGAGGCTGGACGTATTCTAGACCTGCAGGAACAAGATGGGAACATGAGTTAGGCATGACATGAGGATGCCCCCTGAGAGGGGTGTTTATTCCCAGTAGGAGTTAGAAAGCATGGCATTCTGGAGCCAAGGCAAAGGAAGGTCCACGGGGAAAGGGACAGTGACATGCCCAAGATGGCGGTGGCCCCTTCACAGCTCTGCCGGGGACCACTGTGGAGCCCGTACTGGGGAAGACAATCTGGGCTCTGGAAGCTGTGAGCAAAGTGCAGAAGCACCCTCAGGAGGGTGGGACCAGAGGAGCGGGGCAGAGCTGCACTGTCTGAATGTCGCCTGGGGAGAGAGACTGCAGCTCACACCAGCACCTCACCCCCACTCAGGATGAGGGCCCACTCAGCAGCTAACCTGGTCAGTTTGGAGAACCCAATGCCATTCTGATCCCGAGCTGACCCCTCTCGGGGCACCATCTCCACCACCTTCACCATCAACAGTAAGGCCCCTTTACTTAGTAGAACATGGGACACTTCCTTCCCTGAAAGAGGGAGGTCACTCTTTTCTCAGGAGAGCGAGGACAGAAGTGAGTGGGAGCCTGGGCAGTGGCGATGCAGGAGAAACTGGGCCTGTTCACCCATGCCGTCCAAAGGGGACATCCAGAAAGGGGCTTGGTTAGGCCCTGCTTTCCCCAAAAAGGCAGGCGAGTTTGCTGACCAAGCCTGTCTTTCTGGCAGGCCCTGAGCACTCTAGCATGCCTGGGCTGTGGGCCTCAATGTCTCCCTCACACCTCACTCACACTACACACGTA